AAAAGAATTAATGACGTCACCGAATAACCATTCTACAGAAATGCGTAAAGCGCTCATAGCCTCGTTGCAATCCTGCATGAGGAGTGTAAGTGGGACACGACGGAACGGTGTTTGGAGATGAACTCGGAGAGGGTAGGCCAAATCTCCATAAATGCACATAGCTTGAGCTGCTGGATTATAGGCATACTGTTGAAGGTCTCGCAGTAGTCCAGAATCATTTAACATCCCTGCGTCGTGTTTACGCCCCTCTAGAAACGAAATTAAAATCAAACATGAGAAGAGAATTCTTTTCGGGGGGGAGGAGGTTATTTAAGTTTAGAACACTAACGCTTTATCACAAACTCACCAAATGGTCCAAATAGGTTGCCAATAAGTCCATTTGGTAGGGACAAGGATTGGAATTTTAATGCATGGACCCTCTTGTGGCCATTGTACACAATTCTCTGACGCTCATTTGGTCTTCAGATGGGTCGGACCGTTCCATCTACAAAACCGAAACAGTTGTCAAGGGGGCCTCCTTTTCCCGATATAGCTTCTGCATACCGCTGCAAAGCCCCAGGATTCAGAAGACCTCGATTCCATTGTGTTATACGGTGCCCATGAACGTCATAAATATAGTCGATGACATCATTTGAGATCAGGCTTAAAACAGAAACTGGTCGGCCAAATCGCGGAATCAGATCACTGAGTCTGCATGGGTAGGCAACTCGTTTGAGGAGTATGCATAGGCCTTCCATGTCGTCGCAAATACTCCTCTGCTCGCATTTAAACACCGGTGGTAGTTGGATGGCTGCAACAAGGCGAGGGAGATCGTGTTTCTCGACACGAAACTCTGCTTTGCACTCCGCGGAGTTCATAGAATCCAAATCAAACCGTTGATAGTTTTCATGGGGAAAATCTGGATTCTTTGAGATGAAACTATCGTAAAGTAGCAAAAACTCTTCATCGGAAATAATTTCGTCGCCGTAGAGAAGTACAAGGAGGTCACGAAATTCTTTGAAAGACATTTTCCCTGGTGACTTTCACTGTAGGAAGAGACTCGTCCACGTACCGTAACCGGTTTGCTAAATGTTTTTGTTTCCCGCCGAAATACCGCCGTGGACGACGTTCTCGTTGCAGGCCCCAATCGGTCATACCAGTCCTCGTCCTCGTTCTCGTCTTCATTGCTAAAGGTCGCTATTAGAAGATAAAGACAACGAAACCTTCAACAACAAATGGAAGCAAATTTTAAAAAATTGCTAACGGGAGCTTATGTCATGCCTCGTTGAGCACTATGAGAGGCAAATTACACTAAATGCGACCGTGATAGCGGACATGTACGAGTCGCTTGACAAGATAGAAGGCTGGACTGAGAGAGATAAACAATAATTAGAAGAGGAAGTTAAATCGATAATCGACGGTAAAGAGCAAAAGATAAAAGAGGCAAAACAAAAGAAGCTGGAAACAGACCGCAAGAATAAGGAAACGGTGCAACCCCCCAGACGGGAGAATGAAACTTATGCTGACGTTTTGAAGAGACACATCCGCGAGAGATTGAACCCAGTCGCTCTGAAAAAACGGAGAGCACAAGACCAAATAAGGGAGCTGGCCAAGGGAGGGGCAACGTACCCTCTAGACGACAAAACACATGGGGCCGCTCACGCTATCCACAACAACCGAGGTATTTTGAACAGCGACAACGTTTTTTTAAAATGGTGCTCACCCAACAGATCCAGATACAAAGACTAAACTACAAATTTCGTCGAAATAGATTTATCGATAACCAGACTTTGGAACGGAAAAGGACTACGACTAACGGAAATTGCAAAATAACCGAACGTAATGGATCATACAAAACAAAAGAAATTTTAAAGATACGAATAGTAATCTTATCTGATATTCAGCTCACTCAATCAGAAACAGATCTACTTCAGAAAGGATTGAACTTTTGTCCTACACCTCCTCCTCCTACAATTGATAATATTAATAAGGATATTGATGCCTTTGCTCGCAGACTGAGCCTCAAGGAATACCATATCCCAGAGAACATAGCTGAAATAACCGACAATCCAAGCTACCAACTCACAATACTTGAAAAGCTGAACCACAGGGAGCAAAAGACATACTGTAGACTCTCACGAGAACCATATTTGAATACATATATTGAGAAGCTAAGACAAGAAATCACCGACAGAACGTTACATAATTGTCGTTTTTAACGCAACAATCTTAGTAAGCGTGAGCGATTAGCTTTGGGTAGACTAAGTAATAATAGAGACATAATTATAAAACCCGCAGAAAAGGGCGGAGCTACAGTTATTCTCAACACAACCGATTACCTACAGGATTCGAACGCTAACTAGATAATGACACGTATTACAAGAGGATAGAAAAAGGTTGCACTTCGGGAGTTGAACAAACGATTAACCATTGCATAGACGATCTCGTGAAGAACGGAGAAATACAACACGACGTAGCAAAATTTTAAAAACCTGCACAATCTAGAACCCCAATATTCTAC